GGAGACGGAGCACGAAGGGGAGGAGGAGCATGAAGGGGAGAGAGAGCATGAAGAGGAGGTGAACAGAGGAGGCCTCCCTCCAGGTTGCGACATCTCTGACGTTACTGTCACGTGTGAAAACGCCAAACTGACCTACTTCCCTCCTCTGACCATCCCTGAGCTCAAGTCTCTCAGTCTGGAGGGTGAGTTGTTTTCACTGTTATCTGTTTTTATATTAAAGGCTTTTGTTTGTTCGTCTCTTTGCTGATGACGCCGTTATTTACACCTCGAACTGCGATGTACTGGAAACGCTGAATTCTTTACAGTCCAGTTTCAACTTTCCTCAGACCTGGTTTCATAACAACAGTAAAAGTGAAGATGTAAAAGTTTTGCAACGTGATGTTTGTTAGATACAGTTATGAACAAAAGTTTACATAAATTTGTAAGACAGTCAGCCAATAATCACCAAAAAGCAGGAAGAAGGAAGTTCTTCCTCCAGAAGCAGAACCTTAAAGCTCCACTGAAGTCTGCTGCTGATCACATGGACAAAGAAAAGGCCTTCTGGAGGAAAGTTCTGTGGTCAGATGGAGCAAAACCTGAGCAGAAATATGTTTGGAGGAGAGAAGGTGAGGCCTTTAACTCAAAGAACACCAAACCTACCATCAAGCATGGAGGTGGCAGCATCATGCTCGAGGGCTGAAGGGAACTGGAGCTTTACACAAAGTATAATGAATACTAAAGAAGGAGGATTACCTCCATGTTCTTCAAGAAAACCTAAAATCATCATCAGAAGGTTGATCTTCACAATGACCCCAAACACACAGTCCACTTAGGAAATATTTTACTCATGATTATTTGAATCACGAGTTTAAAAAGATTAAGGAGGAGATCAGCGAGACAAGGTTGTCTTTTAAACAGCACTAACTGTCTAAAACCTGCAGCAACTGTCACTGAAACTGAAATTTCTTCAACTTGAAGTTGAGCAGACCAGGAACCAGCACGAAAATCTAAACTATTAACACTCTGTCCTATGTGTTGCATTTAAAAACAAACGATTCAAATCCACAAAACACAAGAATGTTCAGAGACAAACCAGCAGAGTTTCCTGTTCTCACTGTAAACTGACAGAAAGTGTTGTAATCCTCAGGAAACAGCATCAGCAGCATCCCTGCCGAGGCCTTTAACGGCATCCCAAACCTGGAGTGGATCAACCTGAAGAAGAACAAGCTCACGTCCGCCGGCATCGACGCCAAAGCTTTCAAAGTGAGACACACGAACAACTGCTGGACTTTTGCATTGTGGTGTTCACACAGCAATGTTCTGGAAACTCCTAGAACGTTTTAGCGACAAAGTTCAATAAATATTTGACGTCTGTAGTGCGACGCAATCGGCCAGAGAGAAAAGAAATTTTTATGAACTTGTAGGCTTCTTAATAGCATTATGGGAGCGGATTTCATACCAAATATGAACTAAAACATAACGCTTGTTTAAGTAATAATGTGATGTTCGGTGCTCCGTATGTAGCTTAACACAACCAAAGCCAAATAAACACACTAAAAATGTCTCCATAAAGACTTCTGATCAGTTTAGTGGTGCCTTGTAGCAATAAAAAGCTCAGAATGAGTTATACAATCACGTTCTTTAACTTTCTTTTTTTGAATAATTTTCTGTTCTTTTACAGATTTTACCTGTTTTATTAAATTAAAAATCACATTAAGTGAAAAAAAATCTCAATTTACACATCGACTGTAAAAAAAACAAACAAACAAACAAACAAACAAACAAAAAAGCACAAACTTGTGCATAATGTTCACATCAACGATCTATATTTTTGTAAATAATAATTAGTTTGTCCTAAAGAGAACTCACTGTGTTTGGGTGAATGTCTACTTTTTAGGCGTCCTATCAAACTGGTCGTGTTGAATGCAGCTCTATTATTACTGCCAAATAAGTAATATTCATACATTACTTACATGTTAAAGTTAATACATGTTGGACTGCGTTCATCTCTACGCCGATGACACTGTTACTTATAACTTCAACTCTGAGAGGTTAGAAACTCTGAATTCTTTACAGACCAGCTTTAACTTGCCTCAAAACTAGTTTTAATAATGTTTTAAGAAGATAGTCTTTTTTTTCCACACTGCAGTCGTTTTGTGGCCTCGCTTTACAACGCCCGTGTGAGAATAAACAAAGAATCAGGCTGAAGTTAAAGCCAATGAGATGCCTTAAACAGGACTTCCTGTGAGTGAACTCTGCACACGTGACCATTACAACATCCCAGTATCACCAGTATATCTGTGTTCCAGGGTCTGAAGATGCTCAGTCGTCTGTACTTGGACGGAAACCTTCTAGAAGTCGTACCTACAGACCTTCCTCCGAGCCTGCAGGAGCTGAAGATCAATGAGAACAAACTGAGAGGAATCGACGAAAACAGCTTCCAAGGTTCGACAACAGCATCATTCAATGCACCTTAGGACTTACAAGAGCTGCTGTGATTGGTCAGTGTAGTTGATGATGTCAGAGGTTCTCTGTGCACAGAGAAGCTTCTACATTTTGGTTGGGTCTCAAGACATTTTGGACAATTTCAAAGTAGTTTTGGACGAGTTTTGAGACATTCTGGGTAAATGTTGAGACATTTGTAGTTGTTTTTTTAAAAACTTGGAGTAGTTTGGGACAGGTTTGGAATATTTCTGGACATGATTCAAGACATTAGGCGCAATTTTGAAATAGTTCTAAGACATTTTGGACCATTTAGAGTAATTTACGACAAGTTTTGAGTTGTTTTTGACAAAGATTCACTTTGAATCAGGGGATTTTACCGACATGGACTGTTTTGTATGAGTGTGACATTTTTAACCTCAGTGTGTTGATGTTAGGATTCCATTAAGTGTGCAGCCCTACGACTGATTTCAGAGTCTCTCACCTGTTCCTCGTTATTTTGCACAAACTTTAGACAATTTCAAAGTCATCAGCAAGTTTTGAGCCATTATGGACACGTTTACGGTGTGTTTGATAAATTTTAAATCGTTGTGGACTTTGAGGAATTTCTTACTTGATACAAACTCAGAGTATCCAAGAAGCTTTATTATCAGAGTAAATGATGTTCTATCAGACAGACTTCTCTTGTAGATCAGTCATGGAAAATAAGAAAAACAATATATTTTTTTTTTGCCAAGCAGCAGCAGAAGTTGTGGCCTGACGCATTCTAGTGTCAAAGCTGGAACGATAAGTCATGTAGCTCCAATCTGTTATATAACTCAGTCGTGGTCGACATGTCACCGATCACGTGTCGAAGGTTTTGAATGTTGCACCTCCTTTGTTCCACGATAACGTAATAAACGAGGATTTACAGTTCTGCTGTGCAGATTTTCCAGCGGAGGGACGGTGACGTCCATTTATCTGTTTTTATCTTTAAGATCTGAGCAGCCTGGTGATCCTGGAGCTGGAAGGAAATGTGCTGAGCGAAGGGAACACTGATCCTCTGGCCTTCGCTCCGCTCACCCAGCTCTCCTACCTCAGACTGGGCAGAAACCACTTCCGCACCGTTCCACAGGGTCTCCCCAGGTCACTGCTGGTAGGAAGCTGATCGACTCCGAATCCTCACACCGACACACTTTTACTGAGACGTCCAGGTCACAAAGAATGATCTCTATGTTACATCTCTTTTACAAAATTGAAAAAACAACCTGGAACCAACATGTCCAACAGCTTTCCAAGTGTGCACACAGGAGCCATAACTGATTTAATGCACCGGCCGTGTGGACTTGCATGGCTTAAAACCGACACTGGAAAAAAGAAATGAGGCTTTACATGCTATAGATATTAAACTGTCTCCGCACTCTGCTCTGTGTAAACACTGCCTGCACCTCAGCCGAGAAGTCCCAGATTATTGTTGAGTCATTAGTGGTTTATATTTTTTAGGTTTTTCTGATTTTCGTTAGTGCAAATCATTTATACTTAGGGATTTTTTAAATTAGACATGTAGAACAAAATGATTTTTGTGGAATATCAGGATTTTAAGGGCAGATTTGGTTAATGTACCCAACGAAACGATGCTTCACAGATGAGTAGTTCAAAGACCGTTGCATACTTAAAACTTCTCATCAATGGTCAAGTCTTAATGACTGAATGTATTTAAAGAGCTCAATGTGAACGCCACGTACATAAACATATGAAAGTATTAATGTAATCTGTAATAAAACAAGACATTTCCTTTAAAGCTCTGTCGACGCTGCTGTTGAGGTGGAATCTGGAACTAAATAGAAGTTCTCGACAGCAGTTGCCAGAAATATATGCAACACTCTCCAATGAGCGTCATAAACGTTCCAGCAAACCCTCCGGCAGCTTCACGTCTAATTACGTGAAAGCCGTGAGGTTATCGGAGGAGCTCCGAGCAGCTGGATGCACTCAGAGCTCAGGTTTGCTGAAGCATCAGAATTTCCTCTCCGGCTTTGATGTTTACATCGGCCTCCTACCTGTGGGAAACCAGTGCTCCCAGCTGATTACAGCCTCTGGTTAACCACTAACACCAGCAACACGCCGCCGCTGCTGTAAATCCACCTTAAAACCTTCATTTTACGACCTGCAATTACAAAACTCCACACCTCCTCGTCAGTTTGTCAGAAGCCGAGCGGCTCAAACATCAACGCTGGTTCTCTGCTGATTCCTGAGACGCTTAAAGACATTAATGGTCCTGATTTAAGGATTATGTCGACTGGTTCTGTCTCCGCTCTTTAAATTAAGGCCCAAGAAGACTCTAAGTTGAGCAAACATAGATTCAGGTTTGGGATGGCATTATGGTTTAAACAATCCAAACAAACCACAGACTTATGAGACTAAATCTGTGAACAAAAAGCTCCCAGTTGGTTGGATTTTATGGCTGTTGGGGCTGCAGGTGATCACTGCAACAGCCAATTAATTATTAAAACCCAACACTGTATGTTACAGGACTGGTCCGCAGTTGATCCCAGAACATCCACGTCACCCTCTGAACTTGGTTTGAATCACAACATGGAGCTTCCTTTTCTACTCTCCAATAATAATAATAATAATACACCAGAATTCATTCAACCCTCTGATGGACTCCAGTGCAGTTTCTCTGTTTTTTATTTGCTTCTGTCTCATTTTTACTCACTGTTTGCTCATTTTTCTCTGCAACATAAAGTCCTGCAGCTCAGTGGAAACAGAATGAAGAAGAGAACTCAGAGATGTGTTCTGTGCAGGATAACACAGTTATAAAGTTTATAACTTAACATTTTACATTTCTGTAAAACACTGCCTGCAGTTCAACCTGAAAACTCTGGATTTTGCCATGAGACTGTCTGGTGTACCAAGAAGTTTAGCATTTCTTGTTTTTTACCAAATGTGGTTCCAACAAATAATCTATTTATGGTGATTTAAAAAAAAAAAAAAGAGACGCAGAAAAGTTTAAATTTAATCTGGTCACAAGTCACAGATGAGCAGTTCAAGGACCCCTGGAAAGTTGAATATCCAGTGAGTCTGTGCGCTTTCATAGTTTCTGGTATTTTTTTTAAAAAAGTGAACATGCTTTTCCAACCCACCGGTGGGTTTCGTGGTTCACTGGATTAAACAATCCCAACAAACCACAGATTAATCTGCCAAGATCCATGAACAAAAAGCCCCCAGCTGTTAACACGATGCTTTCATTAAAAGCTGGCAGAAAAGGCTAAAGATACGAGATCCTACGGCAACTTTAATCAAAGCGCTTTCCTTTCTGAAGCCAAACATGAGGCTTATTTTCCGTCCATCTGTCTTTCAGGAGCTGCATCTGGAGAACAACCTGATAGAGGAAATCTCAGAGACGGTTTTCAACCAGACCATCAACCTGAACGTGGTTTCTCTGAGACACAACCGGCTGGATGAGACCAGGATCGCCCCCATGGCCTGGATCAACCACAGGTGAGACCACAGCACACCTGACATCACTACCGCCATCCTCCAGGTCCGCACTAGTTCACCAGCAGTGTAAAAAAATAAAAAAAAATCTAAAAGAAAAAAAAAACAAAAACTGTGATATTTGGAATTGGAGTCTCTGGAATACCTTAAAACTCAAGGACTGTAAAGATGACTGCAAACATGTAAAATAATGAGATTTTCAGCTGATTTAAATACAGTAAAATAATAAAAAGTTTACAGTCAAACATTGGAACTGAACAAATTAATATTTACAAAATACTAATTTTTGAAGTGGATATTATTTACAATTTTAGTCTTTTTTTTTCTTTTTTTTAACAGTTAACATGTAAATTAATACTTTTTTCTGTGATTTTAATAGTTTTCTGCAAAACAAAAAAAACAACAACAACAACAAAAAAACAGGAAAAATCTGTAATATTAAAGTAAATTCTTCAATAAATTACAGTGAATGATTGTTAAAAACTATTATCTTTCATTGAGTATTATATATTTCATAGGTGGTTTCAGCTGCATTAAAAACAAATCCCAACAACGAATCGTGAACTCTCTTCCGTCTTCATCCGCAGACATCTGGAGTCCATCGACCTCTCCCATAATGAACTTTATTTGGTCCCGTCCTACCTGCCCAGATCTCTGGTCCACTTGGTGCTGGTGGGGAACAACATCGAGAGGATACCCGGTAGGTGACGCGACACCTGGGTAACAATCGTGACACTGAGCTGATGGAGGGTCCATCTGTCTGCAGATGCATGACGCCACCCAAAAACTAAGAATAGTGCCATCGCTGTATAGTCAGGAACACTAATGAGCTCTAAGCTGATAATGGCGGTGGTCAGAACAAGTTATAGACAATAAAAGGTCTTATTTTGACCTACATCTGATACCATGCTCATCTTCTAGACATGACTAGTCATACTTTAACTCTAGTAAATGCAGCCTCTGCCTTCTCTACTGACGTCCACAGGTTACGTCTTCGGCCACATGGAGCCCGGTTTGGAGTATCTCTACCTGTCCTACAACAAGCTGGACGGGGAGGGAGTCGAGCCGGAGTCCTTCTTCGGCTCGTACCACTCGATGGTGGAACTGTGTCTGGACCACAACCAGCTGCTCTCGGTGCCGTCAGGCATCAACGAAATGACCAACTTGCACTTCCTCAGACTCAACAGCAACAAGATCAGGTACGACGTTCACAAACATCTGGGAGGTTTAAATGACGACATACCAAACTGTAAAAATCAGAAAGAATTGCTGTTTTTTTTTTTCCAACTTCCTGACAATCCTCGAACCACTCGTGTGATTCTGTTAAAAAAACAAAAAAACAAACAAACCCAAGCTTAAAATCAGGCTTCTTCATCCAAATCAAATTAATCTAAATATCTTATTTAAAAAATGTGCCAAAAATTAACGTTTTGCTTTAACCAGATTTTGGGAAAAAACAAAAAATTCTGAGCTCTTCGTCACAACTGTCAAGTCTTTAATAACCCAACTGTGACCAACAGTCTTGTCATAAAAATTCGGAGTGTTTTCAGCTGAACTGCAGGCAGCATTCACACACAGCAGAGAAGTTTGGGCACTGATTAAAAGTGTAAATAGGTAAATATCCTCATTATGTGGAGCCATGATTTGTTTTTTGTCTTGTAAAAACTGTAGACACTAAGAAAAATGACAACAAAATAAAATAAGACCAAAATGCAGCAAATGAAGCATGGCTCAGAAACATTGAACAGAGGAGCCAGTTGTTGGAGATACATCCAGCATGGTGGAACATCTTTCTACATGATGGTGGAACATCTTTCTACATCTGATGGTTTCTACGGTTGATTAAATCTTTATAGCATAAAGAGTCACTGATTTTTTTTTACAGCATTGGTAGCACCTCTAGTTACTTGATTTTTTTTCATTTTTGTACAGTAAATAATGAAAGAAACAACGTTTTTTTTCATTTTTGATGATTTTGAGATGAGATGCACGGCTTTAGATTGCAGTGGAAAACGAGACAGGAACAAAAACACACCCAGAAACTGCTTGAAGTTTGAGGGTTAAACCAAAACTGCAGATAATTCTACTTCTGCTGGTTCATACTCCTTCAAAAAGGTGAAATATGTTTAATAGGATTCCTGTTGAAACTGCCTATTACAGAGGAACAAACGATAAAATTAGAAGCAAACTGAGTCATTAGCTCCTGTAGTGCAGCAAAGCCTCCTGCTGCTGTGTAGTTTAATAGGTGTGAGTTATATGGGGGTAAATGACTCACCTACTATCTCAGTGCCGACGCCAGCTGCTGACCAAACGAACCCACGGAGACGCTCGAGTGTTTCATTTCTGCGGTTTGAGGACCGGGAGCCTCGTCGCTGGATGTTTAGTTGTTTAGTCTGGGCTTCATGTGCAGTTTTCTCTCATTCTGGAGCCTTTCGGTCACTTTGTTGGTCGAGGTTACTCACGTTTAACTTAATCAATATTCTTTGAGGGTTTATTTGTTTGTTATCGTTCTTTGTATGTGAACACACAAATGCTGCCAAACCCAAACCAGAACATCCATAACTCAACCCTCTGAGCTCTGAGCAGCAGTTTCTGGGGTTTATTCTTGCTTCTGCCACATTTTTCTTCACTGTGGGTTCATTTTTCACTGCAATACAAAGTCCTGCACCTCTATTAAAACAGAACAACCATGACAACAGAGAAGAACTCAGAAAAGTCAGAAAAAAGACTAAACAAGAGTTAGGTTTAATTGATTACCTATTTCACAAAAAATTACCGAACATCGCTACCAACACTGGAAAAAATGGAGGTTCTACAGACTATAGATATTTAACTATGTACATTATTGAAACTCTACTTTTTTGGGTGTTGTGCCGTCATTGGATAGAGACAGTTGATACCAAACAAACAAAAGAATCCTATTACCTCCCTACAGCCTGCAATTGGCATCCTACCACACTTGAATTTGTTCTATGGCACTTATCCAGGTTGTTTTCTCCTGACCAGATCCTTGCTTGTGTTGTATCTGCTCTCAGATGTACGTTGCTTTGGATAAAAGCTAAATGAAATTGTAGAATTGTAGATGTGGTTGCACTTTCTTTCTACTCTGTGTAAACACTGCCTGCAGTTCATCCAAACTTTCCCTGATTTTTTGTCATGTGGCTGTTGGTCGCAGCTGAGTCACCAACGGCTCCATGGTTGTGCCAAAGAGAGCAGAATTTTTAGTTTTTTACAGAATCTGGCTTTTCCAAACGGTTTACTTTTGCTGAATTGTGAGACAAGTAGAATAAACCTAAGTTGATTTTTAAAAAATCAGGATTTTAAGCTGAGATTTGGTTTATTCACTCGACAGAACGGCTCGTCACGGATGAGTAGTGAAAGGAAAGTTGAAAATCTGACAATTCATTCTGTTTTTACAGTTTCTGCCTGATAAATGTTGCCATGCTGGTGATTTTTCAAAAGATGTCATTATTCTCAACAGTCCCATTATTCCCAGAATTTTAATCTTAATTACATTTTTTCAGTTAAATAATTAAAGACGTTTGCTGTACAAACTGAAAAAAGACGAAGCTGGTTGAAGAAAATTTCTCGTTTTAAATTTTTTGTCTGTAAAAACGATGCTCTCGGACACATTTCTGAGATCTGGGACACACAGCACCGTGATCCAAAAGTCATTTATGAAGTTAATGAGAACAGACATGAGATCCATGCAGTAATAAACTAGATTTATCGTCTCTAATATGACCTTCATTGGTCTGTACAAGCACAGCGAAAATGGAAATCGCTTATCTCTGGATGGAAAATATTCAAAAAATTCATTTGCGCTCACAGACAGAGTCAGCGGGGAAAACAATAAAAGCAGGTGGTTAAAGCAGGAGCCACACAGTCGCACATCCAGACAAAGATGAACAACAAAAGTCCCACAACAGACGGATCCCGAGCAGACTGACTCACTCACTCAGCTGCCAGACAACATTAAGCTGAAAGTTCACTGGACGGAGAGTCGTCATGGCGATGGGAAACAAAACAAGCCGGCTCACGTCTCCACCTGGGAGTCGCCCTGAATCACCTCCCGACGCCGGCACAGGTCTGCTCACGGCTCTGCGTCCAGGATGTTTTATATAAAAGTGCTATGACAGTTCAAACTCTGAGCTTCGACGCTGCAGGTGGAGAAATAAATCGTTTCAACAAATGCAGTCCAGAAAATCCACAACAGTAACCTGAACAGGGATCAATAAACGGCGAAAACCTTTAAAAACTACGAAAACACACTGACAAGCTCTGTCAGGAATTTCTTGTCAAACATACAAAGTGAGTTTATCTTCCAGTGGGAAATATTAGAACGAAATCAGTGGGAGATCTGTTGTAAAAAGGACATAAAATTAAAGCATTAACTCATAAAGGAGGGTGTTATTCATGGCTACATAAAGAGCAAGTTTTAAAAAGTGCAGATGTTATCCCACTGGAGATCTGACTTCAGCACCCTAAACTTAACACTTGTCTTATTAAAAAGCATGTTGTCTTTGAATAATTGCCAAAATTACATTATTTATCAGACAGAAACTGTAAAAACAGAAAGAATCGTCACATTTTAACCTTTCAGATGGTGTTTGAACTAATCATCCGTGACGTCCAACCTTAAAATCGTAATATTTCCTCAAAATCACTTCATCTTTTTTTTTGCCAAAAATAAAGGGTTTACTCAAACCATATTCTGTAAAAACTTCTGGGCTCCTTAGTGCAGCCATGAAGTCATTAGTGACTCAGCTGCAACGAGCAGTGATGTCATAAAAATTTAGGGACTTTTTCAGATGAACTGCAGGATGTTTTTACACAGAACAGAGTGACGACAAGGATCGAAGCAAATTAAAAATGTAAATAGTGAAATATCAATAGCAGTAGCTGAAGTAGTTAAGTACCTACAGTATGTAGAGTTGCCATTTTTGCCAGGATAACACCAGCGGACATTTGGAAAAAAGTTGGACACACTGATTCCAGGTTTTTTCAAGTTTCGCTAAATTATTTATCAAAGAAATCCAGTTATCATACCAACCTACTGTTTATTTGGTTTAAAGGATTTTTTCATTTATAAAAGAAACTGGGGTCATAAATGAAATAGAAAATAGAGAGAGCGTTTATATTGAAATTTAATGGTACCTAGAACGCTTCCTTGGGGAACTCCACAATCAATTAGGCAATTAATGGTGAAAATAACTGTTAGTTTAAGGTTTAGTCCTTAATTAAAGCCGTATCTCACTACATTCTGACGCTTTGTCTTCCAGGACTATCCCCGATGAAAGCATCTGTGACCCGAACCACAGCGGAGACGCCACGCTGGTGGCCTTGAGGCTGGAGAACAACTACATCGACCCCCAGAAGATCTCACCGACGGCCTTCTCCTGCGTTCGAGCCTCCTCCAGCGTCGTCTTAAAACCCCAGAAAAGTGACCGGAGCCTCCCCAAGACCAAAAACTAAGAGACACTCGCTTATAGCCCCAAAAAACAGGGTTAACATTTTGATTTTCATTCTGCCAACAGAAGTCAAAGCGAAAGTTCTGCCCACCATCTTCCACTGATGTTGTATCGGACCATTCCATGAAAAACCCATCTGACCTCCTCAGAATCAGCTGGTTCTTTGTCTACAGTAACTTTAGTATAATTAATGACGACATGCAAAGTTTTACCTTTATACTATGAATATTTTCAGAATTACAGGCCCTTAAAGTACACAGAGGAGGGTCCAAAATTCACTGGATTTACCAGGGTTTAATTTCTTTAGTGAATAGAATCTAAAATTTTACATTATGTGAGAGTTTAAATCTGACTATATTAGAAAATCAGAGTGAATCATGTCTATTAGATGATCCTGGTATCTTCTGTACGTAAAATGATCCTTTCATTGTCTAGAACTTGTTCTGACCAACCACCATCACACATGCTGATATGAACCTTGAAAGTTTACTCAGAATGCACTTTGTAAAGTTTTCTCTGTTGAATTATCAGGAAACAGAAACACATCCAGGAAACCAACGATTGTTTCTGTAACTCTATATCACAGATATACCGTTCAATGTATGATGCATCCCATAATATTTCTGCTCAAAGGTGATTATAGAAACAAAAAATAGATGTAGTCCTTAGACTGTGACACTTGGATGCATGTAAAATTGGTGTGATTGCAGATTTGAACAATTCCTCAAATTTCACGTGTCCATCTCCTGAACTGATGGAGTTCTGAGGCTCACAAATGACTGAATTATGTACATCAAGGGTCCGTCACTCTACAAATATTCTTAGCATGAAGGCAAACCTTTGCACAGCTTCATTAAATGTACTGAAGTTACTGTAGATCGTAAAAACCAGCTGATTCTGAGGGACTCTGGGAGCTTTCTTCAGATCTGTTTGATTTAATGCAGAATGACTCGCATGTTGCTGGAATAACATCCAAACGCAGACGATATTACAAGAAAAAAAAAAGGCTCCATGTGAACATCTGATGTGCAGGTTGAACACGAAATAAAGGAATTTATCTGTCAAAGCTCAGTGGCTGCTGATGTAATTTGCCTTATGGGAAAGCGCTCTGCTGTCATATTGTTGGACCGAACCCTTACGAGCTGTGAGCAACGTTTTCTCCTCTTCTGGTCCAAACGCATCGGTTCAGGTCTGGCGAGTGGTTCTGCACTGTCACCCGGCCCACCTTAAACTGCTGCGGAGGTGACAGAACTCTCTCAGACTTCAAAATCAAACACATCTGCCTCCTTCGGGCAAGCGCTTCTAAAATGGAAAGAATTCCCGCAGCATACACAGTAAAATGAAAATGCTAATAAAGAAAATGGAAAGAATTCGATGAAGTGAGACCACAAGGCCCGGCACATTATTTTTAACAGCCTCAGCACCTTCATGTTCCATTTCTCAGCTCCGTTTCTTCCAGTCACCGACCTTCATAAAAGCTCTGACATGGGAACGAGGCTGAGCTCAACATGTGACACATTCACGTCGAGTTAAAGCAGGAGAGACGATTCTTCTAACAGACAGAGGTAGTCGCGACATGCCGGCTCGGTTACTTCATCTTTTATTCTTTATCTTGCCTCGAGTGAACCAGCACAGCATCCTCCTCCTGGTGCAGCTCAGACGGATTTGTGCTCGACGCCAAGAGTTCACAGGAGTCTTTCCGTTCGACATCGGTTTCCATTTACAAGACATAATTCACTCAGCGATGGCGGCAGCATTACACCACATATGAGTAACATACATGACTGATTCATGCTCTGCTTTAACCCTCTGAAGCCGAAACCCAGCAGCAAGTCGGAAAGACAGTTTTAAAGAAATCTCCAGAATTACAGCTTTTTGTCAGCAGAGACAGAAACAACCGTGTGATTTTTAACTTTTATGACGAGCCTTGAACTAACCGTGTGTGACTTTCAGTTTCGTCTGGAAAATCAACCAAACTGAAGCCAAACCTCTCGATGTCTGAAGTAAAAACATTTGACAAAAATAGAACCATTGGTTTTAACCAGATTGTGTAAAAATAAATAAAAAAAATCAAAGCGTCTCATCACAACTGTGAAGACATCAGTGACTCAGCTGTGACCAACAGTCATGTGACAACAAAAATCAGCTTTCAGCTGAACTGAAGGCTGTTTTTACACAAAGCAAGTATGGAAACAAATAAAAATGTTAAATATCTATAATATGTAGTGTCACTGGGATTGTCTTTCAGTGTTGGTAACATCTGTGGACACTTGGAACAGTGTTTTCCAGTGGCTTTTACAATTTTATCAAGATAAATAATAAAACAAATTAAACTTTTTTGTGATTTCTGTCAGTTTAACTGTGTCTTACTGCACAGAAGACATACAGCAACTACTGACTGTTTTATTATAGAAAGGATCCAACCTGGACACTTTACTTTGATGTTGGTGTTTTACGGCGTAAAAACATGAGACGGGATACTCAGGAAGCCCGAGCAAATGCGACTCGGGTGTAGGAATGTTGTCCTACTCGAAATCAGTCGCATTGCGCCTTGGGCTTCCGAGATACAGCCCGACTTACATTAACACATGATAAAATATTGATTTTAGGTTTATTACTTAGATTGGTCCATTTAGTTGTTTTCTACATGTAGGTAAAATATTATATATTGCTGTCAAATACCGTCAGCGTGCATGAGTGGTAACACCAGAAAGAAGCCGCAGAAATCACTTGTGCACAGGTGTCATGAGCAATGTGTCATTGCCAGCCAATCCTGTCCCTTGATTTGCATCATGCGGTAGCAACATGCCGCTTCTGTTTACACTTAATAAAACCAAGACACAATGTGACTGATTTCGTGCCGATGGGTCACATTTGTGTGCTGGTCTGAAGTCACTAAGCAACAGAGAAGGCTTTGTCATGGTGCCCCTTAACTTAATGAACCCCCACAATGCTCTCTGCTTGTGAACACAGAAGTGCCGCCTCCTCTGTTTGCTACAGTAATGACCAGTAACAGGCTCCTCCTGGTGGAGCAACCAGGTACTACAGCTGATCTGCAACACATGAAGTGTGTATTATCGAGGAAAATCAGATCAGATATTGGCAGATACTAAGTAATAAATTACTAGGACTAGATTGGGAACAGTTATAACTTGATCAGGACTTTCTACTATAAACAATAATTCAAACCAAAGCTGTAGTCTGTTCATCAACTAGCAACCTAACTACAGTGTTCTGTATTAATAAACCAACATCAGCACTGACAGTAAATACAAGAAGGTTTCTGTTGCTCACATTAAATCTGCTGTGAACAAGGTGATATGGATTAAAAAGCACTGACTGGAGGTACAGTGTGCACAACGACCGGAGCGTTTAGTCAGAAATAAGATAAATGTGCCCAGATGCTAAAAATAGATTATAATCTATTTGATGCGTCTCTGTGTTTTACTACAGGTTAACAATCGCTACCATTGACAAATCTAATGAACTTCACTATGTTCCCCTCACTGCCCGACTGACTAAAGCCGTCTTACGTTTATTGCCTCATAAATAGAAACACGTCAGAATCCGCAGTCACATGTTCTGGTCACGACTGACATACAAGAGTAAAGCTGTTGGTATTCATGTTCAGCATGTTTTCAAGTAAAATACAGTCATCTAAAGGTCTGCAAGGCTAAAGTTTACACAACTGCATGTGTTCTTCTTCTTCTTCTTCTTCGTGTCCACTTTTTAAACCCAAACCAACACCAGCTTTTGTGGGCTGAATACCAACGTTAATATTTGGTGTTTTGAAAAATCCAATAATAATAATAGAGTACAAACAAGGCTCTCTGTGCATCGTCCAGCAAACTGCAGCCTAAACAGGCGCTTCTCTGCTGGAGGACAGTAAATTTCCAGATTCATATGCGATGAATGAAGCAGTGTGCTCCTGCTCTCCAATAATACAAATAATGTGTCAGAATTCATTCATCAGCACAAACTTACACAGACGCACTAACAAAAAGCATTTTAATTATGTTCTTTAACCTTCTGAACCTCAACCAGTTTCTGTCTCCTTGACCTCACTGTCGGCTCCTGTTTCACGGTGAATTACTGTGGAAACGGCACAACCATGACAGGAAGAACACTCAGTGTCTCAGTGGTATAAAGACTCCTGTATCTGGAAGATCCCATCACTGGTGGATCAGGACTTCTGGATAGAACTACATCATGAAGACTGAAGAACACTCAAAGAACTCTGGGAAAAGGTTATTGGGACGCATGAGCCAAGGAATGGATACGAGAACATTTCCAAGTCACTGAATATCTCCTGGAGTCCAGTTAAATCCATTGTTAAGAAATGGAAAGAATATAGCACATCTGTAAATCTGTGAAGGGCAGATTGTCCTAAAAAAAACTGAGTGACTGACCAAGAAAGACTCTTGTGAGGGAGGCCACCAAGACTCCTATGACTCCTCTGAAGGAGGTACTAGAAGGAGACTAGTGAGGGAGGCCACCAAGACTCCTATGACTCCTCTGAAGGAGTTTCCAGCTTCAGCAGCTGAGATGTGAGAGACTGTTCATACAACAGCTGTTGTCTGTTCTTCACCATCAAAGCTTTATGGGAGACAAAGAGAAAGACTCTGTTGGAAAAATCTCATATTAAATCTGGACTAGAGTTCAGCAGAAGACATGTGGAGACTCTGAAGTACATTCCACTAAAGGCTATGTTTGGCAGACACCAAACACTGTACAGCATGACAAACACACCATCCCCATTGTGAAGCACGGTGGTGGCAGCATCATGATGTGAAGCATGGTGGTGGCAGCATCATGTAGTGATGTTTCTCAGCAGCAGCCTGGAAGGCTTGTAAACGTAGAGAGTGAAATGAATGCAGCAAAGTGTAGAGAAATCCTGGAGGACGACATGATGCAGTCTGCAGGAGAACTGAGACTTGGAAGGTTTGTTTTCCATCAAGACAATGATCCAAATCAAACAGCCAAAGCTCCACAGAAATGGTTTAAAGACAACGCGGTGAATGTTCTGGAGGCCCAGACCTCGATTCAACTGAGAATTTGGGGGTGGATTTGAAAAGGCTGTTTACGTTCTATGTAACCTGACTGAGTTTAAGAAGAATGAGGCAAAATCACAGCATCCAGATGTTCAGGCTGATTGAGACCAACAGGATCAATGCTGGACCTGCAGCCAAAGGTCCATCTAGTAAATAGGAGGTGAACACTTATGCAATCACTTATTCTAAGTTTTATATTTTGAATTAATTGGCATTACGTTGTAGAAACCTGTTTCCACTTTGACACGAACGAGGAAAACGAACAACTTAAACACTGCAGCTGCCAGCGATTTACTGTAGTTTCCCTGGAAAGATTATAAGCTCTTCTATAAAATTACAATAACCCTAAAAATGCAGCGTTTATTGAATCTCCTCAGCCGCTGCCCGACTATTTCAGCTGCAGGAGATCAAACCAGAGCAGCGACTCAAACATGTGGAACCACAGTCCCGGTGTTTCCATCTGCACAACACCTTCAGCTGGTCTAGAATCAGTTGCATGTTGACACTGAATGCAAATATTCAGCCTGTGAGGTGAAGGACTCGCACATCCAGACCAGAAGTTAGATTACGTCCAGCACCAGGAGGAGGAAATTCATTTACTTCCATGTTATCAAATTATCGCCTCTGGCCTCGGGGAGCAGCCGTGATGGGTTTTACAGGAAGCTAAAACGCAGATACCTTCACGTCACGTGTCTCCTACACCCACCAAATACATCCTCACCGAAAGCTGCAATTATCAGAGCTGGAAAAGTCAACTCAATCATAATATTTTCCTCTGAAAGCCTGAGGTTTGGGATCATTTACTTCAGTAGCAGACTTCTAAAGGACGACTGGAACAGAAAACGTGAAGAGCGTAAAAACCTCAGCTTCTCCTCTGCTTGGACAAACATTAGATAATCGTGTACATGCAGACAAAAAATAAATCTAAAAGTAGAAAAGCAATAAAAGCAGGAATCAGAAGACGGGCATCTCGTCGGCTGGAAAACTCTCCTCGGAGATGAAAGAGAGTTCCTCCCGTCT